TGATTATTATGTTAGAAAACTCCAGGATAATACTATCTGTGGCAGGACTGGTATTTATTATATGGCATTTCATTTTAACATTATCTCACAACCACAGTTATACTGGAAATCTCCTAACTGGCCTGTGGAAACTTAACTTATAAGGCAGCTATGAAGCTTTTGTATACTTAAAATTCCACAGTGGAGAAAAAATGGCAAGAGGGACTACTCACTAAAAGTATTAAAATGACTGCCTAGGCAAGCACTAAGTGTTATAAATGTAATACGCCTGAGTGAGATTTAACTCTCTTGAGCAATACTGTTTGCAATGATACTGCATATTCTCAGCAGGATATTTTGATGTCAGTGAAATTGCATCCTAATTACTGCAATTTGTATTTCATGGCCAAAGCCATGAGATAAATTTTGGTCAGTGGTTAATTTGTTTCCCAAAGTAATCATTCTTTGGCTAATAGTAGTTCCTTTCGTTAGATTCTTGGTTCTACACGTGTTTAGTGAGTTTTAAATCACAGCCATCAATATTTTAAGTTACACTTTTTTAGTTATCAAGTGGGCAAAGTATCACCCATTTTTCTAGTTACTTATACTTTTGAACATGTATTTTTATGCATTTTATTCATCTCCAGAAAATATGAAGTTAATAATTTAGAAGCCATAACTATACTTAGTGTTCTGATCTACTTTTTAAAAAGTCCATTTATCTTCATATTGCCATGTTATTACATATTTAAGTTACTCCTTTTCAGTGTCCCATAATTTTAATAACTCTGCATAGCCTATTTTTAATATTTACTTATTCGTGCATATGGCAAGATGGGGTATAGGCCACAGGTAGAGGGTGGGGGGCAGGTCTTTGAGAGGTTAGGGTGCTGACACTTAACCCTTGCATCACCAGGGAGGTCAACATAGCCTATTTCTATTTAGTCCCCTAAATAAAATGCTGAAAATACTTACTAGTCAGCCTTTTTGGTGTGTTATATTTTGCAGGTTGGGGAGGTTTTCATAAAACTGGGGTGGAGGTCAGAGGTGAAAGGCATGAGAAGATTCACCAGGAAGAGACTGGAGAGCTGAGCAGACAAATCTAGTGAAATACACTACTGAGGAGAGCAGCAGGCAAGACAGCAGAGGTCTGCTGTGCCATTTGTGGGTTATCTTCCGGAACTGGGGACCATTCTCAGGCAGTAGAGATGATAGCACTGAGATTTAACCCCGAGGGCACCAGAGAGGCCCATTTCAGTATTTTATTTGTAGATATAGTAGATAGCCTTCTGTTTGCCTCTGTACACAGTGCTAGTTTTTCTGAAGTAGATTCTTAAAAAGTACTAGTAGCTTCTTGATGTTTTTTGCTGCCTTCCAAATTCAAATTTTGTGCTGTTTGTTTAGTATCACCCATTTCCTCTCATCCCCAATGCTTAGCAAACCTTAATGTCTTAGTTTGTATTTTTATGAAAGCTATCAATTAGACATCTGACCCTTTTCCCCTTCAAATAAACAGGTAATGTAAAAAGACAAAAATACAAAGAACAGAATTGTAGCTGTTGCTCTCTTCTATTCAGATAATCCAAACACATCAGTTTAAAAAATGTTAGAGAATTCATGATGTTAGGGAATACAAGTTCAACTTACTGATTTTAAGTTTTTCTTCAGAACAATAACCTTTCAAAAAACATAATAGGAAACCAAATTCCATTCATAATAGGAACTATAAAGTACCTCCCTAAAAGTACACCTTAATAGAGAATAAGAACAAAATGGTTTTGCCCCAACCATTTAGCAAAACAAGTTTTCACACTATTGTAATTAAACCAGTGGGGATATTGACTGGTATAAACGGATTGATGGAAAAGAATATAGTCTAAAAATATCTAGTAATATAATATATGATAAAGGTAACATTTCAGATCAGAAAAGGAATGGTGCTGTTCTTGTGTGTTGCTGGCAAAATTATTTTTTAAATTTCCAATGTTTAATGATGCTTGATTTAACTACATGCAATGTAAGCCCTTGGTTCTGCTAGCATTTCTGTTTGTTACCAAGAAGTAGAAAAACATTATACAAGCATTGTTTATATAGCTATCTCTACAGCACAATAATATCTCAAGTCTTGCTTAGTTAATGACTTTGTCTTCTACCTAGACCTTTTCTCACCCTAAGTGCCGCCCACTTTTACTACCAAATTCTTATTTCCAGAACTCAATTTAGTAATGAAATAAAAGTTCAAATATTTAAAAAGATTTTCATAGCTCCAAACATAGATTTCTGTGGCCAATTTGTGGGTTACATCTAAATTTAATCATTTTAAATGTTTGTAAGTTCTCCATTGATGAATTAAATTTTCCTTTTAACTCTAAATGTCAGTCACTCTTTCTTTGTTAATGAAGGAGTAACTTGTCCCCCTCCCCCCCTTAACCTTTATTTCTATAAAAGGTGGAATTAACTTGCTATATTAAGAAATGTGTGAAGAAACTGTTGTTACCCAAAGGGTTCTAAGATGTAACTTTGCATGGTTGCATAGTTACCACTACTTAAGTAAACATCCTAGATGTTTTGCCCTGGAGATTTTCAAGTAGAAAACCTTGTTGTAACTTTTCCAGTGTATCTTATTTTTGTTTTTAAAGAATGATTTCAAACAAGAAAATAGGGGGCTTGGATTTTTTAATTGCTTGCTGTCATAAAACGACAGCGCTTTATAATTTTTAACAACTATCTAAGGTATGTATATCAGCAACTCTCCACAGTAGCAGATAAGATGTCTTAAGTGGAGCACAAGATTCTTTTACCATGATAGCATGGAATGATGGAAGCAAGTGTGAGCTTTAAAAGTACACCTACCAGGCCCTCCCTGGTAGGGGAGCACAGCACTAAGAAGCTAAAGCTACTTCAGCGTGAGTTCAAATTCCCACCCAGAGGTGATCCACATGACATGGCAGACCTCTCCTGACCCACCCGCTGCGCCCCCAGCAGTGTACTTGGTTGATCTGTCTGTTCTGCTCCCTGCTTTGTCTCTGGTGAATCCTCTCACTGCCTCTGCACCTCTAGCCTGTACCCCAAGTCTGTATGCACAAATTAATAAATCTTTTTAAAAAAAAAAAAATGTAAGCCTCCCTAGGTTTAAATCATGCTGCCACCTAAGCTGTAAAAGCTGGGCAAATAGCTCAGCTCTTACTGTTTCCTCATTTTTTTAATGGGAATATTAACTCCCCTGTGAAAGTGTTTTAAGGTAAGAGAGGCATTCATTGCGATTTTTATGACCACATATTGGGCTATAAATTTACAGCCATTAGAAATGATACTTTAGATAGCTCCCTCCATGTTTGGCAAGTGTCCTAGACTAACAGATTTGATCTCTGCTCCCACTGTCACCACCTTAAACAAATGATTCCACCTCTTTGTATGTCGAATTGTTGTTTTGGTTTTTTGAGTTGAGGAATTACATGTATTATCACCATGTACCTTTCTTGTTCTAAATACGTTAAGGTTCATTTTCTTAGAGTAGGAATAAAATATTGGTCAGGAAATTCTTAAGATATGTTATTTCATTAAGATATGTTATTTCCCTGGTGATGACTTAAAAAAAAATAGCATTATAGAGGCCTCCCTCGTGAACAAGTGGTTAATAGGAAGCTATCTGCAGCCACTGCAGCATAAGTTCTATCCCAGCCCAGGGAGCTGACCCACATAGCATAGCAGATGGCTCCTGTCACTCACACTCACACACACACACACACACACACAGCAGATGGCTCCTGACACACACACACACACACCCCCTCTGGCCTGTACCCAATTTCTTGTATGTGTGCATGCATAAATAAACTTTTAAAAGTGTTAAAAATACAGTCCTCCTTTGAAAAAATGCTGTTAAAACATAGTTATTGAAAATGTGTACCCTTCAAAGAAAATGTGCTCTTTTTTTAACCACTTCACTGTTAAATATCAGAACCTTAATCACCTAAATGCAGAAACAATGGATAATAAAATGTATTACAGATGTACACACTTGAAACATCAAATCTTGCCTTTTTCATTCTCTTGAAAGATACTTCATACCCTTAGATTTGTCATACTACCCTTCATTCAGCAAACACTTGCTTTAGAGTCTACTAATCAAGACAATGAAAACAAAGAATCTCCTTAAAGCTCAGTCCTAAAGAGG